GTGACTATATAAATATAGTTAGTAGGTACCTTATTATTAATTTTATGTACCTAGGTAAAGTTAATACTTTACATTTGAACACACGGGTTTTCAAATTTATATTTTAAATCATACAAATAACTATCTTCAATCTTCATACTTCTATTCTAACTTGAGTTATGATTTACACCAAACAAACTTCTAATTAATTAAGTTAGAAATTAAGGAAATTTCAAGAACTACATTTATTCGAACTTGGTTAGTACTTATGGTAAAGTAACTTAACTTGAAGTAGTTGAAAAAAAATTCTAACTTGCCCAGCTTTGAGTATCCATTGCAATTCTTCAGGAGTATAATCAGTGCTGGATTAACTGTTATGAACAATAGACAATAATTGTCTAGTGCAGTGGTTCTTAAATTGTGGTCCTCTGCCACTTGGGGGTCCGTGAAATTCATGTCGAGAGTCCACGTGTAGTGACTTTATTGGTAATTCCGGTCTGACAAGTGACAAATAATATTTTTATGAAAAATTATGTGTAATAAAAATAAATTTAAATGTGTTTGTTTTTATGTACTGGCTTATGTTTTTTTAATATAAAATAAGTATTAAATATAAAGATAATGATATTTTGTAAAAACAAAAAAGTATTTGAAAAGAAATTGGTAGGGAGTCCACGGTTTCTAAAAGTCTTTCATCAGGATCCATGTTTACAAAAAGTTTAAGGCTCTCTGGTCTAAAGCATCAATTTTTTCCTGCTAAATTTTGTTTGTCTATATTATCTCAATTAAACCATCATACTTTTTTTATTTAGTGAACCAAATAGCCATATATAGGTAATAAAACTAATAACTAATAAAGGTGTTAATGTACGAAACACGTTACAATAGTATCATTAATCGATATTATTATCAACGTTATTCTAATTTTAGCTTATTAACTTATTGACTCTACGAGAAACTAGGGCACTAACGTGCAGATAAAATAATCACCTTTAGACGTGGCTGGTATTTCTCCTTAATCCTGCCCTGTATGCGTATAATTGTACGGATAAACATTAAACGTAAAGTCTAATGCGGTAAGATGCCCCAGCCGGCGCTGTCTGTATAATAATATAATACAATTATACTATAATGGATAATATTAGCTGGTATACAATACTAACGGCGGTACTATAGCCAAGCCAGTACTTTGCGCTCAGGTACAAACCCATCTAATCGCACGACGTTGAGCAGTTTTCGTTTGTTCCATCTTCGCAGTGTAATAATAATAATATCGCAATACACTTAATGATATATAATTAAAATGTATACTGTGATATACACAGTTGTCGAAACACTGCGATTTCGTCGCTATACCCAATATAAATCTCGCCCCGCCAACGCGAAGAGTTTTCAGACACGGCCATTCCGTCATCGTCGTCGTCGTCATAAAAAACGAAAGTAATTTATTATAATAATAATACATTATAATGCGATATCGGGCTGGGCGTTTCCCGAAGCGGTCGCTCTTGTTTTTTGTTTATGCGTAGAGCAGAGAACGGGATGGGACGTGGGTAAAAAAAACTCCACGGCGTTCCGAAAAGTTTTTCGAGCCCGAATAATAAATACATAATATTATTAAATTAGTACAAAATAAAGTCAGAGCTACGTAGTGGCACACCGCGGCGGCTGGTTTCAACGTAATTTTTGTAGTTCCGAAAGCGTTTCAGGGTGGTTTAATGTCAAGCTGCAGTTCGTTATTCACTGTGAGTCATAATCGAATCGTGAAGTACAACGTAGGTATTTAGTTTTATTGTATTAGAATAATATAATATATTTTTCTAATGGCCATAGTTGCCGGGCTTAAGTTCAATTAAAAAAATATATATATTTTATAATACTTTTGCCTGTTGTACCTTTTAGATATTGGTTCCACACATGCGCACTTGGCACGTCTTGCAGCACATGATTTAGACTAACGTTTTAGAATAATATTATTTTTTGAAATTCGACTGAAAACATTATCATTTCGGTGCGAAACTTACTTTGTTTTTCACTGACATTAAATAATTTATTCAAAACCAGAGTAGTGCCACTCTATAATAATTGATGGTGGATTAAGCCATTTTGACGGCTAAAATATATTAACTTATAACAGTTGAACCAACCCTATACATAAACTATGATAAACCAACTACGTTTTAATATTAATTTCATCTCCACGGTGGTCTACCCACCACTAATTATAAAGTAACTGAAAAAAAAATAAAATCTGTCAATAAAACATCACATTTAATTATTTAAATTAGATTTTACTCACATACACTCACTTTGAAATAATATATAGGCACTCGTTATTTTATTTTATTTAATAATACATAATTTATAGTAATAATATCATCTGCCTAAATGAGAGACAGAATTATTATTTAATTGGTGACTAATAAAAGTTTTTCTTTCACTATAATTACAATTTGAACCGGAGAATAAAATACCTACACTGGTATGGACTGTGTTTAGCGCACGTCCCAATCGGTCCATTAACCATTTGGTATATGCTTGATATCATCATCATTATTATATGCCAGTGTATAGCTGTTCTATGTACGGTATATACTTACCTATAACACACACACACGCCACGGCCGGATTATATAAATCGACTACCACACGTACCTATTATTATATTGTATACGTTTATTGATGACAGCGTTATTCCGGACACGAGTGTAACATTATATCGTACACAATATTATTATATACGTAGGTACTGCTATTGCGCCTTTATGTAAAGTGATTGATTTCGATAGATCTCTGCAGGACGAATCCAATTACTGCTCGCACTGGAGTATGGGACGCAATTTGTGTGTGTGCGTCGTTTTGTGTCATTTTGTGTGATGTATAATTGCGAGTGGCGACTGTATTGCATTCTGTTTGCTGTACAATATATTATACAGCTTAATAATAGACGTACAGTATAATAGCGAATTAATTTGTTCGATTATAAAATAATTGAATACGCGTTGAACGTATATAGAGCGAAATTAACGGCGTAGCATAATGACGCTGCACAATAAGTGATTATTTTATTCGCTGGTCGCAGTGCAGGATCTTTAAGTCTCGAGGGAGGTGCAACTACCTATATACTAATAACGGAAAAGCGTCTTTTGAAAAATAAAATTTTCATTTATGAATACACGTCATATGGATATGATGTATAAATTATAATATATTGTAACTATAGTCATTTTTATTTAGGCCATTATTCTATTCTGTGCTATAGTTATGCGTATTATAATTATAATATGTGTGTGGTATAAGCTAAGAGGTTACTGTGTATAATATACAACCCACGAGCACGAGCAGGACTTTCGGAAAATCTTGTGCACGTTTTGGACGTGACTTTCCGCGTGCCTTTACCACAGTTTAGTGTTGAAAATCATCTTTGTACAGTTTAAAAAATAAGATATTTTATTCGTTATCTTCGTCCGGATAATGAGTTTCTCGGTGATTTATAGGACCGGCGCAATACCAATGCATTTGTATTCTATAACGCACGTATACACTTAACCATAGTCGTTTCTCAGAGCTTTCACGGCGTCATTACGTGTTATGGCGATAATAAATAATAACTCGTAGGTATCCGTGTTTCGATGACGGATTTATTATATAAATAAAAAATAACACCTAGACGGGGTTGTCTTGAAACGTGCAAAATAAATTCAAAACGTCCAATTTTCTGTCAGTTCCCATAATATTGTTACGTCACGCGTGAAAACTTTTTTCATTACAGTGTTGTTATATTATTTATTATACCCACGCATAAAAATTCGGAGGTTTTATACGACATTATTCAGACGATTTCGTTGCAGGTCGCTATCTATGCTCGCTCGCTTGTACGTGGGGTACACATGACGGCGGAATCCCGGTCTAATGTGGCCGCAAATATTGATTGAAATATGTGTTGGGACGGATAAATAATTATTATTATATTATGTGGGCAGCTGTCACGCGTGTGTTTCACCCTGTGAAAACTTAAAACTAATTGTCACGAGCGAGCGCGTTTTTATCCGATACTCGATAACACCCTCTCTGACCATCACTCTAAAAATAAAATTCGCTTTAATAAATAGCATTCCGTTACAATAACAGCACACCGCAATAACCTGCTGCACGTCATTAAGCACTATATATACAACCAACCCCCACACCGACAACATATTCACTCATTAGAATACTGGACTGGGAATAGTGAGTGTACTACAAGTACCGGCACCTGCCGACCATAAACTCGCTGTTTAAATTATTTTTAACAATTAGATTAGATTATTTTACACATTAAATTCAACTAATTAAGTTACTAAATTAATATGAATTAAAACTAACTAGTTAGTGCTCAGCTTTGTCCAATTTATCACAAAGACATTTAGAATAAAGGAAACAGATATTTCTCCAAAATATTGATTATATTATCATTTTGGTTTTTTTTCCATATGCATACTATACATAGCAAATATCCATTCATCTAAAAATGTTTGGTTTCATTTAAATAATAAAATAACTTTTAGTTTTGCACCTCAGAAGTATAACTAAAAAATAAAAATAAGAATTTAATAAATAATTGTTGTACACTTGTACCAATATAATGTAAAAAAAAAAGATATATTCAGTTTTACAAAGTCAACAAACATCTTGTGGCCAAGTGCATAAGTGTTTGGAAAATGTATTATTCGTTTCTGTGTCACAGTAATTACTCACCAGTATTAATGTGTTACGTCTGGCGAACATTACTAATAAATTTACCTACTTTCGTCTAAAAGTTAAATCGTATTTTCATATTATAATTTGTAATCTATTTATTCAACGTTTTTCATAAAACCAACATGTCAAATAGTGCAGCTTCGTCCGTTAACCAGAAACTTTCCGAGAACGAAATTATGCAAATGGTGTTTGACGATCTCCGGTCAAACAGACCGAAACCGTTAGATGGTTGTGATTTTAATAGCTTGCCGGTTCACAGACGGTTTATGTCTTCACCTAACATGGCCGTGTGGACAAATTCAGCCAAAGTAACAGAGTTCGGATGGAAATCAATGCCTTATAACTTACCTGCTGTCGACAATACCCAGGAAAGTAAACAGAAGCCGTCGGAAATCGGTGATTTCCCTAGTTTGCTGGTGCACAAAAGGGCTGTGTCGTGTCCTAACATGGTCTTGCTGAAAAATTCTGCAGCTGAAGCACTACTAGAGACCTGGTGCAAATCTACTAGGTACCAATATAATACTGACGGCTATCTACGATATCCGGGAAAATGGACAGAAACCTTTGGAAAACTGCGATTTCCATAGTCTGCAGATGCACTGAAAGAGATCTGCGTCATTGGCCAATATGACCGTGGGTGAAAATTGTAATGGCGATGCACCCGAAATCGGACGGCCGTTAGTTAAGTCCTCGGAGTTTCCATCGACCTACCGTAAACCATTTTATCAAATTCACCAATGAAATATTTAATTTCAAACCTATTATGATTCCTAAACACTTAATCTGATCATTGTGTCCATAGTGATAGATTAGTATCATAGTACATCAAAGTTTAAATGGAAGATATTTACTAAAAATATGGGTATTCTGACTTTTCCAATAGGTTAGGAGTTACCTATAAGAATAAATAAATAATTGTGCGTCTGCTAGTACTCTCCAATCTTGGGACCTCAGAAGCTATGGAAACATTAATATATTAGGTTCGATTAGTAGGTACAACCATAGGTTTTTGCTTTGGTTGTGCCGTAAAAAAAAAAAATTAAAAAAAATTAATTAATTCTTTACGAGCAAAGCAATATTTTCCCAGATGGATGACCACCTGGATTCGAAGTGCCCAAAAACCTTGCATACATACACGTGTTTACAACCGTTCCAACCCTACCAACCAAACAGGTTAATGACCTCAGTCGTCAAAGCCTTAAACCAATAAAAAATAAAATAAAAATATTTGCCAGGTCAGCTAAATTATATATAACGACAAATAATGAATAAACTTTTCAAGTTTGAGATATTCGAAATTAACTATTAAACAAAATAATAATTGTTTGGATTTTATTAAGTTGTTATAAAAAGTATTTATACATTTCACCGATTTTCTGTTTGTCTGTATATGCCACGATATTAGATAATTTAATATTTGTAATATAAAATATAATATTCGCAACATTGTTTAATACTATTGAAAAATTTCAATTTTAATATATCTAAATCGCTTTAAAAATACACTGCGTGGAGAGTTCCTTGAAATTCGGTGCATCCGTAATATATATGAGAAATATAAACTAAGTTCCTATATAAAATAAGTAAACATATGTATATTGATGTGTTCGCACCACCATACATTGTTTTTTTTGTCTTCTGCCCTCTTCCAGTACTCACACTCTAGATATTGTTCTAAAAGTAGAGTATAGTTGTAACTCAAAAACTGCAAAACGCGTTCTTTGATACATATAATTTCTGTTCGAAACAAAGCTTCACCAGATATATGGTAATTTATTCAAAAATATGTATAATACGGTTTTTCGGCTGTAAGAATAATTTTCACAAAAGTACACGCATATAATGTCTTGAAGTTTTATTTTTCATCGTGAAACGTTAATCACCGCACATCACTGAATTTGGTCGAGATGGTTTGTAATTTACATGATGTTACTAAATTAACAAAAACGAGAAAACTTTGAAGTTTAACATGTTATTATACTTCCAAGATAGTATATAGTGTAATATAGCACACAATGATAAAAATACACCTTACGAAACATTTTAATTCAAACCCACGCGCTATAAAATAATAATAACAACAACAATACATTTTATGTACCTATATAAATAGGTACATAATAATTAATAATATTGTGAGCATAATAAATTATTCATTTTAAAATTAAACTATGAATGTACCTGTTCATAGGTATAAGCATAATATAGAGAAGTACATTAATGATTTTTTTTACTATATTATTATTATTTATTTAAATTTTAAGGCATCAACAATAAACTGCGTGGTTATTAGCCAGTGATTACATTATTTACGTTTATCCATTTATATTTTTACATTAATTTACTTAAGTTAAATTCGATGACGGAGTTCAGATTCGTTCATGAAATTGAATAGTTTTCTGGATGTATCGAAAGTGGGTGCGAGTACCCTACTTCTTATAAAGTTTCTAAAAATGTCTGTTTGATCCTTATTTTATTGTGTTGGTGGCATTCTTTGTGCTTGACGGTAGTGAGTGTTCCACCATCTTCCATATCCATGAGGTGGCCTTGTATCACCCTTTTAACCCACATAAAATCACAATATTTTCGAATTATTTAGATTTTTTATACTATTTAAGGAGTATCCTGAGGGGATACAAACATCTATTTTTCAAGTGATAATATCCTTTTTCTAATAAACAATTATTCAGTGAATATATTTTCTGAAATTTTAATGTGTCAAAATCAAAATTTGAACGAGTACTTTTTCATTTATTAAATTTTAACTTTGTACTCACAGTTCGCAAGTTAACAAAGATAATAAGTCCATGATATAATAGATTTGGAAGATTTGAGGTCTTTGGTGATATAAAAATGTTAGTAATTTATATTGTTCTCTTAACATTTGTAATATTTAAAAATGGTAAAAGTAGAATAAACACTAGATCTAATATACTATATTATATTTTTGTAAATCCATTTTCAAAGACTCTTATTCTTAGTATACACATTTAAATACCCAACTGAAAAACTACTCATTCAAATTTTGAAATAGACAAATCCAAATTTAAAAAAGAAATTATCTAATAAATAATTTACAGAAAAAAGGGGGGGGGAGTTCTCGTAGTAAAAACACAAGTTTGTCTCACCACAAGACACTCCTTAACTAATAGAAATTAATCTCAAGAATTTGAAGACAGGGTTACAACTTACAACTACTCATATCGAATTTCCTGCAGAGAACCACATAACCCTCAAAGATTTATTATTACGCAATTTGAAGTTTTCAGACAGTGACTATAAAATATATCACAGTTTTTCAACCACCGATACTATCTAAAAAGCACTTTACAGTTTGCACTCGGTAATGACAAAATCAAATACACCTATACATAATAATATATTATTATTAGGTGATAGCAGAGCACTTCAGAAGTATACTAAGCTTCACGGTAGTTGGACATGTTTTAAAGTAGTAGCGACGACCCTCTCAGTTATTTGAAACTGATTAAGACTGTACGATTTCCTGAAATATCATATACATAGTTGAATATTATTTAAATAATTGTTACAATGGATAATAATATATAATTTAAAGTCGTTAAAACCCAATCAACTTTTTTAATTGTTGTCTACGTATATTTTTTACTTATGATAGGTAATATGTTTAGAAAAACATTTTATAACATAAAAAATGACATCTTCAAAGCCTTCTTCGATTTGTTAAGTCGTATAACGTGTATTTTTTCTGCACTATATATATCATAATATCGGCTCTACCCAGAAAAGTGTTCAAACGAAAAGGATGATAAAAAAAATAAACGAAACAAAAACATCGTTGTATATAAAACCAATAAATTTCCCTTCCACCATAACAATAAATATTGGTATAACATGCAGGTTTATATACAAAACAATATTTTTTATTGATATATTATTTATAAACGAAAAAACTTTAAACAAAACAAAAAACGATAAGATATAACTATAACTCTTCCTCAAGGAGTGAATACTACTTGCGTCTCATAAACCTATTACATTATGTCCGGAAAAAAATGGACTGGTATTTTTGAAATATGTTTTACTCAGTAGGTTGTAGGTACATACTACTAATTAAATGTATAAAATTGATATTATTAAAAACGGTCCCTCTAATACGCATCTATGAAGGTTTGAAATTAAATTATGGTTGTAATTTTTTAAATGTTAAATAATCATAATTAGTTTAAACTTTAAAATGTACCAAAATAAATAGATAAAAAAAAATTCATAGCTGAAAAATAGTTTGTGTGTATCGCATAATATGTTAAAAAGCGCAGGGGTGGGGTTGTAGGCCACGTTCACCCTGCCCTTGAGACAGACAGTCTTTTAAGTAAAATAAGTAATTACAATGGAATTAAATCAGAGTTTTAAACGTTAATGCCTTAACTCACCAAAAAAAAAATGTAAGAAAGCCTTGATCAATAGCTATGCGCTGCGCTTGATTCGACTACATTTCATCAATATATGACATATATTTGATAACCACCACGATGTACTTTACCACCCTATATAACTGTGACGTGATGACACTATCTTACAACGGGATTCCCCTCGATTCGTGTGTTTCAGTTGGATCGAGAATCGGCGTTGGCCTACTTAGACAAGATCGACAGGGAGCTGTACCGACTCGACGCCCGTTACTCCGACCAAAGCGTGGAATTATCAAACAAAGACATCGTGAGTACATAATTTGAATACGTATACTCTTTAACAGTGGTTCCCCAACCCTCTCCAACTGTTGTAACTCTAAGTATTTGTAGTGCATTTGTTGTAAGGCCATACAATGTCCCATACAATCTTAAAACAATTTATCTATATATAGAGACTATATAATATAATATATAAAAATTAAAAGGCGTCTGCATGTGTTTCTTGTATGCACGTAAGTAATTAATTATGTATGTGTGTGTGTGTGTGTGTGTGTGTGTGTGTGTGTGTTTGTGTGTGTTTGTGTGTAAGCGATCCACAGCCAAGTCTATCGCACCCATGGTACTGATATTTGGTACATCCTGTAATAAAATGGAGATGTCCACTAAGCCAAACTTTTTAATTTTGCATTTTGAATAGAGGCTCATACATATAATTGTTGGCTCACGAAAAACGAATATATATTTCTATTCGCATAGGGTTGGTTTCCACTATAATTTTAGACCTGTATTTTAGATTTAGTAAAAATCGCCCTATGGTTGTGTTAAAAATATGTGTAGTTTACTTTTAATGGAGTTTAAGACATGGTAAATCTATTAACATTATTTAATTAATTTATCACGGGAAACGCCATGCAGGATCTGCTATAATCAATGAATATATATCTAATATAAAACATCAAATGAATAAAACCGATGACCCTTGTGGAAATCCACAGTTTTCAGCCGATTTTCATAAAATTCCCATCAATAGATTCAGCAAGAACCTTAATAAGGTCATAGCCCATAGGCTATATTTTACTTTTGAACACATAGGTTCACATTTAATATAATTAAATCACGACAAACTATGATTTTAACATAGATATGGATTTGGGTTCAAATTTTTTTTTTACTGATTTAGCATAACTGATTTTTATCTCTATAGAAACACAAATCAACAATAAAACATACTTATCTATGATTCTTCAATTTTCTTTGAAGATGAAAAATATAGAGTAGCATGCTATTTTTATTTAAATGTTGTCGCCGTCAGGGCTTTCAGAAAATAATAAAATATAGTTATCATGATTGGATTTAATTTTAGACCTGTATTTTGTGTCTGGCCAAACAACCCAAATAATTGTGCTAAAAATCTGTGTAGCTTACAAATTTAACCTTACAAGGAACGTAATTTAATTTTTGTTTTTCGACATCACATAATTGCAGACTTATAAAATATATGTATTTAAGCAGGCTGAGGTGAAATGGATCACTCCGTAATGTGTATGCGTGCACATAGGTAATAGGTACTCGAGAAACGTGCAGAATACACACACTATATATATTTATAGTATACAACTTATAATTTATTACATACATCGAAACTGCCCACGTGAAGTAGCTGTAAACATTTGTTCGAAACCCATCCCAATCGCATTTGTACCCGGCGCACCCACGCCACATAGATACATACATACATTATACATACATACATACATAACATATTAACATACATAACATACATCATACATACATGGCATATACATAATACAAACATATTAGCTGGTGTAGTAAAATAATCGACATTTCTGTTTTATCGCTGCAGTGTACGAATAATTCTCAGATTTCACGTGTCCTGCTTACATTACGATATTATCGAGGCATTACACTGCTCAGTATGACGTGTGGCAGACTGTACCCTAATAATCGTGTTCAACGAGCAGCAGACATCGCGTGCGTAGCTTAAAATTAGAATTTCAACTGAAATGACAATACCGAGCGTTGGAAATATTACTAGTTTGTCTGTTAGTGAAAATATTGTGAACCTACGCAATATACGCCACACGGGATATGTACCTGAGTATATCTAGGTATATATATGGTAGATTATGTTATTATGCAACGCGCATAGTCTAACCATATTTTAATTACGATTATCGAGGCGATGTACTGCGCAATATTATGATATGTATCATAAAAATATAATGGCGACGTCCCTGCAGAAGTCATCGCGTGCGTCGCCTAAAATTAGTATTTTCACCCTACCAATAACCCGCGTTTACTGCAATATTATTATATCATTTTTGTTGAAAAGTTTGCCCGTCGGAAAAAAACGAGCAGTGGGAGAAATGTGTATCTGCACACTTCAAGCCACACGGCAAATGTACCTAGGTATATCTAGGTTCTGGAGTCTGAGCAATGAGAAAGTAGTTCCGTCCCCGATTCTTGGTTCAAAAAAAAGGTATATCTAGGTGTATTATGTATTATGTGCCTCGCGGATTGTCTAGCCGTGTAATTTTCATATTAAAATGGCCGCCAATTTATTTCATATATAACCTGCAGAGGTAGAAATGTATAACATACGATTAATACCTAGTATTGTACAATACGTGTTATGCCACATTTTATATAATGTTCACTCGGGTGATTTTCGTTCCACATTTCTAACTTTTATTTAATCACTGTCAATACATAATAAACAATGCATAATATTATTTATTATGAAAACGCTGTGTATGTGTCAGAAATATTACCCTTTAAACGAACCTTTTTGTTAACCTTAACCTTTTTGTTAAATAATCGGTATGTATCCGTTTTGTGAGAATTCCACTGAGGTTGAATGTATTTTGTTAACCAAAACAAAATCGTTCACATTTTAACGTTTTCTTTTTTCAGGAAAACCCAATAAAATTCTCAAAGAACTATGAATCTTCCGATTTCAATGACATTGATGGAACGTTGACCGAACTAAAAGAAATGCAACAGATACTCAGAGACAAGTATAGCAAAAAAAGTATCGACTTGGATGAAGAAGATTACAACTCGAAACGTACTGACCGTAAAATTAACTTTGTTTTCACTTTTTATGAATAACCTATTTATATTATTCATTTCAGGAATTCGAAAAATTTTAGAAGCCAAACTACGCATGTCTGATTCGCAGTATAATCGACTTTTGGAAACGCTTACAGCTCCGTCGGACTATACGTATGCCCAGACGATGATGGACGAAATTATTTATCAACTAGCTAAGCTCATGTTCAACCAAGGACTTTTCATCGGTAAGTCAAGTCAGTATCTACGGATAATGGATATATAATATGCAGGGGAGTCTATATAAATTGTTATACCTCGGGCTTTAATTTGATAAAAAAAAATCGTTTTAATTATTATTAAAATATCTAAATTCTGTTGTTGGCAGTAGCTTGGACGATAATTTTAATTTTATAAGGCATACAATGGTCTTTTTAAGCCTGTGTGGAAGCAATTAATTTTTCCCTCTTGTTTATGTTAATATTTAATTATACCAATATTTTGAGTATCCGTGTAAAATTGTGTGTCACGCGGCTCTGTATAATATTACTATGATTAATATTTAGGAATATATAGAATCATCGGATGTACCGATGTACATACGTCTAAAAATATTGTAATAAACTCGTCGAGATAATCACCAAAAAATGTCTATCAAAAAGTAAAGTGAAATAGTTGAGCAAAGAAAATAATATCACTGTTATAGATTTTATTTATAATTGCTTAAATATATTCAAATTGTACTCGTTCAGTGGCTTTGGTATTATATATTAACCAACAAATATTTACGTAATATTGTAAAAGAGAATTAAAAAAAATGAGCTCAACTTCTTCTCATATTGATTGATTTAAAATATACTGTCGTGTGTAGTTGTAAGACGGCGCTCTGAATATGCAATTTAAGGTCATATTTGTCAATATTATTATTATAATAAATAATAACAGTATGAGTAATATTACGATAATTCTCTAAAAAGTATGAGGTAGGTACTTATAATAAATATTAAGTGTTCCTTTAAAGTTATGTATAAGATAACCAGATATTGTCGCTAACTATGATAGTTTAAAGTAGATACATTTTTTATTAACTTAAACATAAACATGAAAATTTAAATAACATCCTGGACATTTTATTTTAAATTGTAACATCGTAGGAAAAGTTGGTTTCTTTTTTTATTGCATTCAAAGCAAAGTATATAATAACTTTCGTGAATTATAATAATATTTAATATACTATTAACCTGTTGTATATGCGTAGACGTATTGTTTACATTACATAAAAATATACATCTCAAATTAAAGTATACCTAATGTTGATGCCCATACTAACATGTCCCTATTGTAGAAGTTCTAAACAAAATGTGAATACTATACAAACTACTAACCAACTTTATAAACATTGTGTGTGTAGCATAATATATGTGGGTTGTAAGTTTGTAAATAGTTTACATTCTAAAATAAATTTCGGTAGATCGAATTCTTGCCTTTAAACTGGGCCATAGCTAAGATGACAGGGACAATAAGTTGTTACAATTTTCAGATCCACAACGTTTTGTTTACTTTGCAAACGCAAAAATCGATAGTTCGGTCTACCTAAAATTATGACTCATCATGGATGTCATTGAATGATGAGTCGGAATAATGTTTTTCAAATTTTAGGTGGATCGGAAGCACAAGAATCTTTGCAAAAGTTCACAGACTTTTTGGAAACCGAAGCCAGCCGAGGAAGAATTTCTAGAGCCCTTGAAAAAAAAATATTGGGTAAGTCAAAATACATAAATAGACGGTCAAAGATAAATAATATTACGTATATATAAATATATATATATAACAGATTCATGCAGTACATTAATTATGAATTACCCAAAAATAAATATCGATAGTTATACCAAGGTACCTTATGAGCATTTTGGTAAAAAATCATAATTTTCGACTTATAAATAATATCACCTATATTTTGTTTGCGTTTCAGATTTACTGATAACTTCGCTTTCGGATACATTGACTGAACACCCGGAACTGATGGCCGCTGCCAAGGAAGGTTTTAGCAAATACCTAGATGCCTACCCCAATTCAGGTACCTGTATTGATAATAATATTAGTACTTAAGAACTTTTTTTTAAATATAATTTTAATTATGTAATTGTGTTTTTATCATTATATACGCGTATACTATTATTACAATTATTATAAACTGTCAGCGACAAATAATATAACTTATTCCAATTCATAAAATATTAATATTATATGATTTCCCCCGTACTTTTAGAATCAAACGGTATCCACCAGATGAAAAACGACAAGTTTTCTGCAAAGACGAGAAGAGACATGGAGACTCCAGCGAAAGGTCAGCTGAGTGCTGACTTGGAAACGACCGTGGTGAAGCGGAGCGTGAAGACGTCTGGTATCGAAAACAACGAAGTCGGAAACGTAGCGGCGAAAAATTAAAAAATATATAAACATATTATCATATTAATCTCAACGTCGTAGACTATTAATTCAAACAAATTAGGAATATTTCCTCCCGAATAAAAAAAAAATAGTCTCATAATATTCTTTACATCTATATTTTATTATTTAATATAATATTACACATTTGTGTGTGTGTGCATGTCCGAGTGTGACGTTCCCGACCACCACTCCAGTACCTATATACTTCCTCGTCAACCTATTTTCTATATTGCTGGTCATCCCTCTCTTTCTATTGTCTCCCGACACTCAATATCTCGTTTAGGTAAATTTTAATTTTAAAATATAATATTATACTTACAAACGACTCTATAAAATATATTATATTAAATGATATCTCTATTTTTTACGTGTAACGCGTGTTGGGTGTGTGCAGTGCTATATACATTTTGTGATTTGTGATAATTTAATTATATTACTATTTACATTACATTATACTATACCATTTATATAGTGTTTATCATATTTAACTAATTACCTATTATAATAAATATAGATAATATACACATATTTAATATTATATCAGATTATATTAAAGACGTATTCGTACATACCAGGGACGTCGAACTTCGTAGTATCTGTGTGTCAAAAACAAAAGTCTTTTGTACTTAACAGGCGTGTTAGTATGAAATAATTTGAAAATACACAAACTTAAGAATCTAATCAGATATTACTATATCAGCTGTCACATTTAAACTTTACATTATTAAATATTTACTATTGCCATTGAACACATCATTTGAACACATCATTTGTATTGATACATATTAATTAAAATATAGTTAAGTATTAAACACTAAAATAACAAAATCTGAAAGAAGACATATTTTTCGAATGTACGAATGTTCGAATTAATTATAAATTCGTTATTAATGAGACATTTGTTGCTGCATTTGTCTGGCTAATAAATCAATCCTGGGATTACAATAGGTAAATTTTAATTGAATACATGCTGCACTGCTAATATCTGTGTCAAGTCGATTCCTTAATTTCGATTTAATCAAGCCCTTGGTGGAAAAGCATAATTTTTAATGGAAAAAACTAAATCGGAAGACTTTTCCACTCAATAAGAGCAGTATTGGAGTCACAACTACGAGATAGATATATTATTATATAATTAACTATATACAAAAATAATATAGAATTTATTATAAACGTTAAAAATGATTACATCAAATTATTTTCAATTAGCACATCTGTTTTTTTTCCATAGAAATTGGAGTATAAATTATGAATTACATTTAATTGGCCAAGCCACTCAAAATGGAAAACAGGTGCAACTCTGTGACACGAGTGATACAAGTTCGGCATTCTTGGTATATATCCCAAGTACGCAAGAAATGTAGGATCTAACCCGTTTTTAAAAACAAACTTTTTTCCCTGTCACCGTTTATTGTTTAAGATCGGAGTTATTTAGCAGCGGCCAACGATTGTTAATTATATTATAAGTATAATATAATAATTCATCAATATTGTTCTAGTTATACCGTTGTATTAATAATTGTCACGGTGAGCATGATGTGCAGCAACCTAACGGTGCTCCCTTAACATTTAAAAATTTATATTTATATTTATATTTAGACAAATTGAACGGATGTGGTTAAATATTTTTACACATCAACTTATAGTACATACCTACTACTAGCCAATATACGTATTATATGTGTGGAAACAATTCTTATACAATTAAAATATAATATGTTAGCCCATTACAATATTTTATAATAGATATATATTATTTTATAATTATATTGAGAAAGGCGTCCGAAAAATAAGTCGAACGCAAATTAACATTACATGATTAATAACATATTGTATTACTTACCAGATTCACGATTAAGTCAAGGTCCAATTTTAATCTTATTATTTAAAAAAATATATTATATTATACAATAATACTCGCGTGTCTTACGCCTATATAATATTGGTTTTCTGTAAATTAATTAATTATATTATAACACGATCGGTAATATATGTATTGTGTAATATTTTATTTATCATTATAATATATTATACAGACATGTTTAAATAGAAAACTGTATTTATGTTAATGTGTCGAGTATAATATGCCTGCGGCCCCGCGAGTCGCGACCTTCATTGCACACAAACTGCAGTTTTAAACCATAGAAAACTGGAACTTGATTCAGCGCCATTTCTGAAAATTAAAAATACTGATGAAATCCGCAGATGAAGTCGTAGTAATTTATTGGTTTTTAGAAATGCAAAATGTTTTTGTAAGAATCTAAGAGTTCTCATCGGAACCCTCTTTTGGAACTTCGGATTGCACAATATCACTCTACAGGTGGATTCACAAAGCCTTCTGACTCACAATGTTTGCTTCAACTATGAATATATTTACTTTCAATTATTTAGATATGCACCGAACCAGCCAAGGAGACAGGAGTATACTGTAGCGTTATATACAGTTTTTTTTAATAAGAACCAACCTTACTAAATCAAAAATTCAATGGGTAGTTTCTGAGTTATTATAATATATTATATACAATATTACCTATATACTAAAGATAATCAAGGTCTTTAAAAACAGTTTTACAAAAATATAAAATGTATGAAGTAGAGCCCTGCAACTCTTTATAATCTATACTCAGACAATTCTCACAAACCGTAAAATTCTGATGGATTAATGTTAATTATATTACAATGATTTCCAAATCATTATAGACAATCTTGTTAAGTATTCGAATACGTCTTGTATTTAAGGCTGTTGGAGCATAGAATATTTTAAGTAGTAAAATTTAGGAAATTGAGCAAAAATATTATTGAAAAATATTTGTCATTGTATGAGTAGTAAATGAACCTTATTGTGTGTAATCCATTATCATCATCATTTTCTAGACCAATAAGCAAAAGATAAGTTTTTGTACTTCCCGATGTCCGATTATCATTTTAAAAATATGTATGAACTCATCATACCCTTTACTAGGTTATGTAGGAAAAATAATTGATGTTTTAAAACTGAATGTAAGTGTATAAAATAAAAATATTTTCATAATTTTTTTAAATTTTAACATGTTTATTAAACCTTATTGAATACAAAAATCAAAAAACCGTTTCCTACGCATAACCTAGAAAAGCAGATGATGAGTTCATACATATTTTTAAAATAATAATTGGACATCGGGAAGTACATAAACTAATCTTTCGCTTATTGGTCTAGAACTACAAAAAATACTGTGTGCTCCAAGTTCCAACAGCCTTAAATACTTTTTTTGTACTTAAATTTATTCTTAAATTATTTTCTGAATACATTTGAAAAGTATTCTTAACAAGACTGATTCATAGATTATTTCAAAATGGTGACTTGTATAACTTTCTAGTAAGTATAAAACAACAAAAACTACACTCGTTTGAATTATATACAGTTAAATAATACACAGTTATAAGAGTGATCACGTTAAAACCACAATAATTATTTTGTAGTTAAAAATTGATAATATTATTTTAATTTTAAAATGTCAAAAAATGAAACGGGAGGTTCGGCGAACTTATCCACACTTCTCAATGAGCCTTTTTTTTCCACTCCATCTCTCTCACGAGGGGTGTTTTGTTTCGAAGTACTCTATTGATGTGTTTGCCATTCCGGACCTCCACAAGTTATTGTATCTAACAGGCCGTATTTATATATGCCATCTGACTGAAACTGTCAAGTGGTAGACCGGATGACCGTTGCTCCTTAACTTAACGACATCGGAAGGATCGGCACCGTTCACTGGACCACTAGATGTCGCTGTATATTATACTGTTTCCTGTGGGAAGATTAATACAATTTTATTGCATAATAATTTCGTCATGCGCATAAAAACCTATAGTCTATACTAAAATACCTAGGTAGGCAATAGGCATATAAAGAAGAAAAATTGTTTGTTCGTTTGTTCACAGTAATCTCTGGAACTACGTCTAAATTGTTCTATGGCCTGCCCCTACTTTAAAAATAATTTTACCAACAGCTACACTATCCCAAGAATCTAAATAGGCTATATTTTATCTCGATAAAGTGGCACTTAATTCTTTTTTATTGTAAATTTGAGAATTTTTTATAGATACACCATACACCTACCTATAATAATAATAATAATAATAATAATAATAAATAATATTTTATTTTGTTTATAATAGGCTTACCTATAATAATAAAAATAATAAATATTATTATATTTTGTTCATAATAGGCTTATGGCTATTAATTAGAAAAAATAAAATAGTTATTATGATTGAACATAATTTAATATAATTTCACTACCTACGTCAAGACGTCAGGTATTAATAATAGGTTAGTAGATAACGAATTTAATACAAAGTGTTACTAATAGGTTTTAAACGAAGACAAACGAATTGTACTTACTAAAGCAGTTTTATTAAAATGCATAAACAAATAACAACAAACATACGAACATTACGAACAGAGCCCACAACCGGTACTCTGCGACTGACTATAACCATGACTGAATGGTCAAGCCCTTTTCAAAAAACAGGGTAGCCAACACTCGGCCATCCACCCTTACTTATCGACCTCGATAAGTCATTATATAAAACAAACTCAATTAAATTAATATTTTAAACAAATCTAAACAAATCAGTTCTTTAGATGGACTTAACTAAATTAATATTCTAAACAAAATTAAACAAATCAGTTCTTTAGATGGATTTAACTAAATTAATATTTTAAACAAAATTAAACAAATCAGTTCTTTAGATGGACTTAATTAAACATAATCTTCTAAATACTTTGGTGGTTTTCTTTGACGTTTAAGCTTAACAGTTTCTTCCACCCTTGGTAGATCAGCATTTGATTTGTTAGTCTCTTCATCTTCATCTGCTGATGACCCACTTCCTTTTTCCTCAAGCTGCTCCTCTTGCATTATTGAAACTGCCTTCAACTGAGACACATGAGCCGTTGTAGCATAAATGTGTTTACCATCCCTTGCCATCTCAGCGACTCGATATGTGTTTCCAGGTAG